TACAGGTGGTTGTGAGCTGCTGCCTTGCATGCTGGAACCAAACACGGGTCCTCTGCGGTCCTCTGCGAGAGCAGCCTGCACTCTTAAGTGCTAAGCCGTCTCTCCAGCTCCTCCCCCTCCCCAGGCTTCAGTGTTTTTGTAGTTCTGTCTCTGCTCGAACAACCAGCACCCATATCCTTGCACGCAGTGGGAAAACCTTTTCAGGCTAAGCTAGCTAGCATGGGTCCATTGCTTGACACAGTGGTGGCCGCAGACAAACATGGGTTTGTGCTAAGCTGTGTCTGGGGCTTTGAGGGCTTTCTGCTACCTGGTAAGCTCCTTTGTGGTCAGGGATGAGACAGGGAGGAGCTCCCTAGAGCGGGCTCTGCCAGGCCAGGCATGAGATGCTGTCGGGGCTGGAACCTGTAGTCTGAGTCCAGTGGGTGAGGTGCAGGTACCTGGGGAAGGTGGCTCGTGTGCCCTGGCTGATGGCTGCTGGAGAGGCAGAGGCCCCGCAGCCTGTTGGACTTCTAGCAGGAGGTTCTTGCGGGCCGGGGGAGGTAGGTCAGCCTGTCTTTTCTCCAGCTCTGAGAATGGCACCCTGGCTGAGGCCCGCACCTTCCCTCTGAGGCCCACACAATCCTCACCTGTAGACGGGACCAAAAGTCCCTGGGATGTGACAACAGGTGTCAGGGCTCCGATGGGGACGCACTTCAACGTTTCACTATGGAAAAATGAACGTGTACAGAATAGTATGCTTCCGCCAGCCTACACATCCTGGCTAGCCTCGAGTCATCTCTGCCCACACACTTCCCCCTCCAGACAACAGATCACTTCATCCTAGAAGTTGGAGTCTGTTCTGTTTCACAAACAGATAATAATTCTGGAACACACACATAACCCTAAAATCTGTTAGAACTGATAAAGGAATGCAGTAAAGTCCACGGGTAGATTCCATATACAGGGCAATCAGCTGTGTTTCTACACACTCCCAGGGAAGTAGCCAGAGGAGAAAGAAATCCCATCTCTTGTAGCATCACAACCCAGAAGAGACTTTAGCAATACATCTAACTGAAGGAGATGAAAGATTACAGACTTTATCTGCAGACTGAAGTACTGATGAAAGACACTGAACAAAAATAAAGGAAACTTCGAGGCCAGCCTGGTCTACCAAGCGAGTTCCAGGACAGCCTCCAAAACAATACAGAGAAACCCTGTCTCGTAAAAACCAAAAATAAAAAATAAAAAAATAAAAAAGTAAAGGAAACATATCCCATCTTCATGGTTTGGAAGGACTAATATTGTTGAAATGTCCAGATCACTTGGGTGATCTTCAGATTGAGTGTAACCTCTATAAAAATTCCAGTGACGGTTTTCACAGAAATATATAAAAAAAGAAACTGTAAAATTCATGTAAAACCACAGGTGACCTCCCAAATAGCCAAAGCTACCTCAAGAAAAAAGGCTCAGACTGAAGAATACTACACATCTTGATCCAAACTATGCTGCAAAGTACTGCACTGGCATAAAAATAGAACAGGATAGGTAAAGCCCAGCTTTACCTGTGCAATTATGACTGATTTCCAACCAGATGCCAAAAATATACAACAGGAAAAGGATAGTGAAAAGTAGGTATCCACCTACAAGAACGTGAAATTCGCCTCCCATTCCTCTCACACATTTCACACACACACACACACACACACACACACACACACACACACACACACACACCAAGAGAACTAAAGGCGTACACTCTGAGACTATAAAACTTCTTTTTTTTTTTTTTTTTTGAGACAAGGTTTCTCTGTGCAGCTCTGTAGACCAGGCTGGCATCAAACTCTCAGAGATCCGCCCGCCTCTGCCTCACAAGTGCTAGGATTAAAGGTGTGTATCACCACTTCCTGGCAAAACTTCTTAGAGAGAGAGAGAGAGAGACAGAGACAGATAGAGACAGAGAGACAGAGACAGACACACAGAGAGAGAGAGACAGATAGAGACAGAGACAGAGACAGACACAGAGAGAGAGAGAGAGAGAGAGAGAGAGATCAGAGACAGAGACAGATAAAGATAAAGATATTGACAGATTGACCCCCGGTCTGGAAAAGAATCTGACTTTTATTCTGAAATCTTAGGTTATGGGATCACATCAGACTAATGTTTCTTCATGGGGAAGGAGGCAGCCCTGGAAAGAGAGGGTGTGTGAACTAGGGGAAATATTTGCAAGGTGAGCATCTGTAAGGGACTAATACCCCAAACATGTGAGATAGTAAAATAGTAGCAAGAATCTCAAGAGCCTTGTTTAAAATGGGCAAAGGGCGTGCATGGACACGAGGCCTACAAGTGAACAACGGACATACAATGGCATGCTCGTCAGTCATCAGGGAAGCACATGCAAAACCACAAGGAGAGGCTACGTCACACCTGTCCGAATGGCTGTTAGCAAAACGATGAGAGATGTCTGTTGGAAGCCTGTGGAGATGAGGCTCGGCGCTGGTGGGAATGGAGTGAGTGCAGCCGCCGTCGGAAGTGGAGAAATGAGGAACAGGGCCAACACACGATCCAGCACTAGGTATATAGCCCAAACTCCCCAGACTGGTTTGCCATGGAGACACTGTCAGCACTCCATCCACCAAAGCAATGTGGAGAGGCATCCTCAGGTCCCAGCAACAGATGCATGATGGAGAAAATGTGGTAAGTTAGACAGGGAAGCACTGTGTAGCCTCCAAAAGGAGGGTATTCTGTTAACAGCAATATCGATGAACAGAGAAAAAAAAAAGCACAAATCCTGCTTGCTCACACCTCTATGTGAGATACAAGATAATCAAACTCAGAAACAGGGGTGGAGGGAGGAGGCAGGCCAAAGGGGACAAGTTAGATGGATCACTTTATTCAGAAACGCAGTGGCCCAGTATTGCGGCTGTTTTCATAATGCATATGTCCAGCTTATAGGGATTTTCAAGTACTCTGTCTACCAGGAAAAACAACAAATATTGAGCTGATTGTGGTACACCTGCCCAAGCACTCAGGAGGCCAAGGCAGGATCAGGAGTTCAAGGCCAGCTTGGACCACCTGTCTCAAACAACAAAATCGCTATTTTTCAGTATTTAAAAGGTCTAGATTCAAGCCAGGTGTGGTGGCACACGCCTTCAATCCCAGCATGCAGGAGGCAGAGGCAGAGGCAGGCAGACCTCTGTGAATTTGAGGACAGCCTGGTCTACAGAGTGAGTTCCAGTACAGCCACAGCTACACAGTGAGACCTTGTCCAAAAGACGAAAACAAAGCAATAGTCCAGATCCCAATGAGGTCACTGTTACTAAAGCTCTCATTTGTCGCAGGAGTGTGTTGACACCCGTTTCTTGCCCGTTCCCTTGCAGCCTTTCCGTGACACTGGTCTCCCACTGTGTTCCTGGTCACCTGCGTCTTGTCAGTTGGCTGTACCCATAGGCTTCTTTAACTCGGCTAGACTGTGCTCCATTCAGTGTGGAGAGGCTGGCAGAGCCAGCCTCTGGCAGATACCTGCTGAGCCCTCCCAGTGGAGTGCTGACAGGCCCTTACTCCTGTGAGGACAGACCTTCACTGTTAGCCAGGTTCCAGCTGCTGAGTGGGGTGGGGGCTGGGGAACCCCCCAATCGGTGCATTTTTTTCTATTTTTCTCTTTTCTTCAGTTTACCCATGGCGGCTTTTCCTCCTGCTGTTTCCTTCCTTTCCTCTTTCCTGCCCTCCTTATTTCCTTTCTTCCTTCCACAACATTGAGGTGGGTGCTCTTACCAAGCTCTAGCCCTCTCTCAGTTGCTAAAATTGGAGACATAAGTAAAAAGGTACTCAAAATGTTTTAGGGGCCAGGCGTTGGTGGCGCACGCCTTTAATCCCAGCACTCGGGAGGCAGAGGCAGGCAGATCTCTGTGAGTTCGAGGCTAGGCTGGACCGACAGCCTCCAGAATAATACAGAGAAACCCTGTCTCGTAAAACCAAAAACCAAAACAAAACAAAAAATGTTTTAGGGGCTGGGGTGCAGCTCAGTTGGTAATATCCAGGAGGTCTGGGGTTCTATCTAAAACAACACATAAACAGGGTGTGGTAGGGAGGGCCACAGGTCATACATGGCACTAAAGAGTGTCTAGCCTGGGCTAGAGACCCTTCCTTAAAAGACAGACTAAAAAGTCTAAATGCTGTCATATAATAGTAATGTCAGGGCCCGGAATATCTTCTTCCTGATTTTTGTTTTCCTGTGTGATGCTGGGTGTTGAAGCCAGGGCCTGGTGGACACCACCCTGCGCTCCTTGCTTGAGCTGTTTCCCAGGCCTGGCTGGAAGGGATGTGGTCTTCCTCCCTGCCCTCCCAAGGCCATTGCAGGCTGGATACAGGAAAGGACAGGCTCGTGGTACAGCCCCGCTGCCGAGTCTTTCAAAGGAAATCAGGCATTTGGCTGGCAGCACCGTCGCTCTGACATCTGTTCTTTGAGGATTCTCTGCTGTTACTCAACATACTGTGACCTGGGCTGCCCTCTGCCTTCTGCAAAAGCCCTGTCTCCCAGGCCGGGCCAGCATCTGGAGACCACAGGGCCCGCTCCCGCCTCTGGGCAGGCTGCAGCACGCATGGGTGTGGGACTCTCTTCTTGTCTTTTATGAGACTAGGCCAAGCAGCAGGTTGGCATTTCTGCACAGACAGGGCTGGTGGGGGCTGGACTTGGGAGACTCGAGGTGAGATGGGCATTTGGAGCCACTTTGATGCCCACCAGCAGTTCACCTTTTTTTTTCTTTTCTTTCTTTCTTTCTTTTTTTTTTTTTTTTTTTGTTTTTTGCGAGACAGGGTTTCTCTGTATTGTTTTGGAGGCTGTCGGTCCAGCCTGGCCTCGAACTCACAGAGATCTGCCTGCCTCTGCCTCCCGAGTGCTGGGATTAAAGGCGTGCGCTACCACCACCCGGCAGCAGTTCACCTTTTAGGACCACCAGTGACTCCACGAGGCCCTGGCTTTTCCTTAGTTTTTCATGACCTTAGCAAGTTTCTTTTTTGTTTCTTTCTGGAAACCCTGCTGTCTGCCTCTGGAATGAAGGTGTGACCAGGACATTGTCTGTGTGCCCAGCTTGGACAGGAAGAGATCCCTGTGTGTCCCTGAACCCAGGCTGGGAGTTGAGTCTAAGCATTGGAATGTTCCTCGGACCTCAGGGAAAATCCCAATACAGGGAGGCTGAATGACTGGACCACAAGGCTGGCAAGGCATCTCTGACTGGCCAGAGCCTGGAAGAGCTGGGGGGAACCTGAGGCCAGCCTGCTCTGCCTCTGGAGGAGGTGAGCCCCACCGTGCTCCTACTGCTGGCAGCAGAGTGGGTTCCATGCTCCTGTGCTATAGTCCAGCCTGGCGGGAACACCACGAGGTCCTGAGATTCCTGTGGCTGCAGGAAAACCTTCTGCAAGGGTTGGTGCTCTGGGTCCTCCTGAATAGCTGCCACATGAGATGGGTAAAGACAGTTTGGGGAGGCGTGTGGAACACTCTGCTCCAACTCAGGAGAAAGGAAGGGAAGAGGCGATGGAACCGGAGTCCAGGGAACTCTGCTACAAGTCATGCGCAGCTGGACCAGGAGCTCCAGGGGCCAGGAGACTGCTCTGTCTAGTTCTTCAGCTCTTTCATTTATTTTTATTTCATGGTCATTGATGTTTTGCCTGCCTGCATGTGTGAGGGTGCCAGATCCCCTGCAACTGGAGTTAAAGACAGTTGTGAGCTGCCATGTGGGTGCTGGGAATTGAACCTGGGTCTTCTGGAAGAGGAGTCTGTGTGTTTAGCCACTGAGCCATCTCTCGAGCCCCTCATTTTTATTTTTTTTAAGGTTTATTTATGTATACAGTGTTCTTGCTTGCATGTGTGCTTGCAGGCCAGAGGAGGGCACCAGATCTCATTACGGATGGTTGTGAACCACCCTGTGGTTGCTGGGAATTGAACTCAGGACTATTTGGAAGAGCAACCAGTGCTCTTAACCTCTGAGCCACATCTCCAGCCCTCAATTGTTTCATGCTGAGACGTTTCTCAGGCTCAGTACTCATCCCCTTGTCGGCTGACGTGAAATGACTGATTACTCCAGCTTTCCCTCAGTGTCAGTGGTCAGATCTTCAGGCCTGGTGGCTCTGACTTGGGGTCAGCTGAGGTTGTAGCCAGATTGCCCATGAAGAGGCAAGCCTGATAGAGGATTGGGGATCTGCTCCCAAGATGGCTTCCCCTGGAGGGGCTAATCCAAGAGAGAAGTCTGGCATCTTTGCTGACCTCAGAGCTCATGTGAGTTCAGTAATTTTTCTCTCTTTTTTGTTATAATTTAGTTATTTTTATTTTATTTGCATTGGTGTTTTGCCTACGTGTATGTCTCTGTGAGGGTGTCTTGGAGTTACAGACAGTTGTGAGCTGCCATGTGTGTGCTGGGAATTGAACCTGGTCCTCTGGAAGAGCAGCCAGTGCTCTTAACTACTGAGCCACCTCTCCAACCCCATGTTTTTTATCCCCCTCCAGCCCACATTGGTCACACAGGGAGTCAGGGCTACGTCAGGTATGAATCCCAGGAAGCTCACGCGCCAACAGCCTTATGGAAGTGTAGGTCACAGTGGTCCACCTAAAAGTCCCATGCCTGCCAAATCAATACAGAGAAACCCTGTCTCGTTAAAAAAAAAAAAAAAGCCCCATGCCTGCCCCATCCTTGGCTCTTGCTTGTCACAAGTACACCCTGGGCTGCTTACCCCCAGGACCAGGGAGCTGTACGGGTTAATAATGCTTGTCCTCTGAGGCAAGTGGGCCTAGGGCCCAGAGGAAGGCTTGCTGTACCTGACTTGACAGGATTCATAGTATTCTGACGGGAGCAGGGGCCCGGAAGAGTGAGGCCGTTGGGTGGTAGCATAAGGGATACAGGGTGGAAAAAGGAATTGGGCTGAGTGCTGGGGTCTGACAGGCCCAGAAAGGAGACTTAATCCTGAGGCACAGGCTAGCCATGTAAAGTCTGTGAGGACAGCAGACGCATAGTAGAGCCAGGATCTCAGGGTTGGCGCTGTGAGGATAACCCCAGACAGCACCCCTGCCTGTCTCTTTAACTGACTGTGAACCTAAGCCCTCACAGATGCTCAGCCGACAGCGCATATTGCCTTGACTTTACAGAGCTCGCTGGAATGCTGCGGCTTGGGTGAGGTCACACACGGAAGCTGTCTGTGGAGCTCCATTGCCCCAGGTCAAGGGACCGGACTGGTGCGAGTGTCCAGCTGATTGCTCAGACTGTGGTCAGCCCAGGGAGGGTCCTGAGCCCCGCGGCAAGGGAGGAAGGCCATGGCTGTGAGGCTGACGGACAGAGTCAGGGCAGTTCCTGTCCTCACTTCTTTCCTGCCCCTACAGAAACCGCCCGGAGTCTGAAAGGCACTGGGGTGCTATGGGGTCCCTCCGTGGGGGCGGGGCTCCACGTCGGGGCTTGTCGAACGGGTCAGCACTCAGTATCGTCTGTTGGTGCGCCGACTGGCAACTGTGCCTTGCTTGTCGCCGCCTATCCAGCATGTGCCTTGGGACCCTTTTCTGTTAGGGACAAACACTTCCTGGCATGGGTGAGGTTATTCTCCTGCGTTGGGGACCCCGGATCGCACGGTGGAGCTTTGGATTGCACGGTGGAGCTTTTCAGGTCTGCGCCCTGCTCCTAGTGTGGCTGCCGCCCCATCCGCTCCAGGCCCAGGCATTCTGAGTCAGTTTTGTGTCTCTAACCCCGGAGAGGAGGCTGGGTGGAGCCCTGACAGAAAAGCTTGGTGGTGGAACCTGCAGAAACCAGTCTGCCCGTCTTCTGCTTCCCAGGCCTGAGGACATTAGATTCTGGGGGAGTTGCGGGAAGATAGGAGAGCTGGGGGGAAATGGAGTGCTCTTGCAGAAGGGGGGGGGCCTGGGTCCGGGTTAGGAGGCCCGGAGGCCCCGTCTGTCCTAAGAAGGTCCTGCATCACTCCCAGGGAGTAGTTGAGGGAACCCTGATTTCCAGTCTTGCTCTCACAGCTGTGTGTGCCGGCAACAGCTGCACACTCTGAACCCGCACCCTCCTCTGAGGAGATGGGAGAATTAATGAGCTGCTGCCCAGAGCACAGCAAAGTGTCAGAAGTGACCACAGGGGCCACCAACCTCAGGGCCGAGAGGACCCCGGGGGAGGATGAGGACTCGAGTGTGCCTGGGGGGTGCCGTGCTCTTCAAGGACGGATAGGCAGGAGGCCAGGGAGAGTGGTGACATTGCTGGGTTTGTTATAGTTCATCTCCTGCCACCTCTGGGTGCTGCAGCCCTGTCTCTCCTCCCTCCCACAGCCAGGACCCTCTCCAACGACCAGGCTTCTGTGTGCTTTCCCCAGAGTTACCAGTGGGGCAGAGGGCTCCTCCTCCACTAGCCCGAGAACTCTCAGGCACGGGACCTTCCCTGCCAGAGGGATGGGACCAACGCCCCCAATACTCTCCAGGGCTCCGGTCAGGGAGGGTCTGGGTCTGCCTCTTATCCGGCAGCACCCTCCTTTAGCTGGGCTCCACTCCAGTGTTGTCCTCTGGTGTAAGCCAGGCCTTGAATAAATGGAGGTCCAGTGGCCATGAGAAAGAGATGTGTGATTCAGTAAGGACACTGGTGTGAAGGGGAGCCCGGGGGGGGGAGCTACTTCTGCACGCCAAGGTGGTTAACACCAGAGGGAGAGGCAGCACCCCTTTGGTCCCAGAACGAGCGTCCCTTGTGCCCTCTAACAGCAGGCTCCCTGGGGGCACTGGCCAGGCAGGGAGCACTGAGTTTCTCACTCCGTCTGTCTCGGTTGGTTGTGTGGCGGACCTCTGTGAGCAGCCCGCCTTCTTCCGGAGGAGTAGCCGTGTTGTGCAGGGCCACGAAGGCTTGTGTTGCCGTTGCAGACTATCTTCAGTTTGGAGACCATGGCTAAAGCTGCACATTCATTGCGCAAACACCCGAATGTGGGGCCACAGGGGAAGCGTCTGGGGTTACCTTTAGTCCGCACACCCAGCAGCTCTCCAGTGTTCGCATTCCTGCTAGGATCGAGAACTGGCGTACCCCCATGTTCTTGTCAACATCTGGTGTGTCCCTTTAACTGACCTGGCTTTACTTGTAGGCCACCTTGTACCTGCCAGCCCAGAGACTGGCTCTGAAGTCCCATCCACGTCCTGGTACTTGGCCAGTGTGCTCTGAATGCTGGGCATAAAAGGAGGTAGCTCTCAGCAAGGATGCAGCCGGTGGGAAGACAGCCCAAAGGAAAAGGGCAGTGGCTGGGGCTACACCAGGGATGCCCCACACTGTGGGAGGAGGGAGCATGCCTTGCTTTGAGGCGCTCACATGGAGTTGGGGGGTGTCTGGAGAAAAGGTAGAAAATAATCCCAGGACTCTAGGTTACGTGCCGGGAAGGCTGCCTGAGGACCAGGTGGGTGCTCTCTCTCCCCAGTCTTTGGAGACTGCGTGTTACCACTGAGCTCCCTACGACCCCAGGGGGAAGTGACGCCTGGCTCCGTGGAAGGGAGGCCAGATTTAAGTCCTGGGCTCATGATGACCGTGACTGCTGAGATCTTCAGGCAGGATCTCTCTGTTTCGGAAGCAGAATCCTAATGCTGAGCCTGGGCGTTACTCCTGCCCTAGCCCCGACAAGGGACAGATGTGGCATGCAGAAAGACGTGAGACCTCTCAGATGGGTACCCAGCCCACTACATCACTCCAGTGGAACGAGCCCAGGGAGGGAAGGGGCCTGTCTGGGAGTGGCTGAGCCGGAGGCTCGTGCCAGGCTGTCATCCTTAATTGCCCAGTAAGGATGTGTCTGCTCTCTGCCTCCAGCAATCGTCTTGGGGCTTCTAATGGAGATTTTCACTTCTTGTTTTATAATTTTTTAAAAAAATTGTTCCAGCTTCAAGCTTCAAATTTCCATGAAGTCATTGGATCTGGGAGCCTGGCCTGGCGGCTCCTCCGCTCCTGTGGCAGGCTCGCAGGCTGGGAGAGGGGCCCTCCTCACACCCCCACCACAGCAGGAGCTGAGCAGAGCTGAGGGCCCAGCCTTAGTTAGCTGCCACTGCTGCCACCACCGCCGAGCAGGAAGTGGTGGGTCCCAGATGTGACTCACTCTCATTAGGTAGCCGGTGGACGGAGCCTTCCCATGTGTGAGACTGGAGGCCTTCAGAGCAAGGGTATCGAGGGTCCAGCCACCTCCCTGCAAGCACAGAGCTTGGTCGGGCAGCTTCAGTGCCTCGGAAGAGTCAGGTAAAGCCTGATTTGGGCGTGGGGTGGCGTCTGTTATTTTGGCCGGGGCCTTGGGTCCCAGGCCTGTGGAAGGGAGATGAACCCAGGCCTAGCTGCTGGTGGGCTGGGCCAGCCGGTGGTGAGGGGGCTCCACAGTCTCCTGGGCAGACAGCTGGGAGGGCGGCTCCTCACTGGGAAGCCCAGACAGTTTGGC